TTGTTTCATTTATATTCATTCATATATATATATATATATATATATATATATATATATATATATATATATATATATATATATATATATTATATATATATATATATATATATATATATATATATATATATATATATATATGTCGTACCTAGAAGCCAGAACTCACTTCTCAGCCTACTATGCAAGGCCCGATTTGCGTAATAAGCCAAGTTTTCATGAATTATTTGTTTTTCGACTATCTAACCTACCTAACCTAACCTAACTTTTTCGGCTACCTAACCTAACCTAACCTATAAATATAGGTTAGGTTAGGTTAGGTAGGGTTGGTTAGGTTCGGTCATATATCTTCGTTAATTTTAACTCCAATAAAAAAAATGACCTCATACATAATGAAATGGGTAGTTTTATCATTTCATAAGAAAAAAATTAGAGAAAATATATTAATTCAGGAAAACTTGGCTTATTAGGCAAATCGGGCCTTACATAGTTGGCTGAGAAGTGCGTTCTGGCTACTAGGTACGACATATATATATATATATATATATATAAATAAATATATTAATATTAATATTATCAGCTGCAAAAGTGTGTGAGGTTAACTATAAAAATTTAGACCCAGATTCATCAAGCATTTGTGCCTCTACTTACAACACCTATTGATCTGTCCATATATTGATATATATGGATAGATAGATATATATATCTATCTATCCATAGATATATATATATATCTATGGATAGATAGATAGATAGATAGATAGATAGATAGATAGATATATATAATAGATATATATATCTATTGATATATATATATATATATATATATATATATATATATATATATATATATATATATATATATATATATATATATATATATTATTAAATATGACCGAAAAAGTAAGATTAATAATTCTAACACGAATTTTCTCAATCTTTCGTACATTACGCTTCACTGTTGGAGGTAAATCAAAAATCAATTCTCCAAATTCATTTTTATTTCTAGTCTGACGCGACACGGGCGCGTTTCGTAAAACTTATTACATTTTCAAAGACTTTAGTTCACAAATACACAACTGATTAGAACTTACGTATCTCAGATTTTATATCTACATTTGAGTGAGGTGGGAGGGGTGATGTGGCATTAACACAAGACAGAACAAGAGGGGATATTAATAGGGTATTAAAAGTATCAACACAAGACAGAACACAAACAATGGGTATTGAACAGAAGTGTTTGTAGAAAGCCTATTGGTCCATATTTCTTGATGCTTCTATATTGGAGCGGAGTCTTGAGGTGGGTAGAATATAGTTGTGCAATAATTGGCTGTTGATTGCTGGTGTTGACTTCTTGATGTGTAGTGCCTCGCAAACGTCAAGCCGCCTGCTATCGCTGTATCTATCGATGATTTCTGTGTTGTTTACTAGGATTTCTCTGGCGATGGTTTGGTTATGGGAAGAGATTATATGTTCCTTAATGGAACCCTGTTGCTTATGCATCGTTAAACGCCTAGAAAGAGATGTTGTTGTCTTGCCTATATACTGGGTTTTTTGGAGCTTACAGTCCCCAAGTGGGCATTTGAAGGCATAGACGACGTTAGTCTCTTTTAAAGCGTTCTGTTTTGTGTCTGGACACAATCCAGACACAAAACAGAACGCTTTAAAAGAGACTAACGTCGTCTATGCCTTCAAATGCCCACTTGGGGACTGTAAGCTCCAAAAAACCCAGTATATAGGCAAGACAACAACATCTCTTTCTAGGCGTTTAACGATGCATAAGCAACAGGGTTCCATTAAGGAACATATAATCTCTTCCCACAACCAAACCATCGCCAGAGAAATCCTAGTAAACAACACAGAAATCATCGATAGATACAGCGATAGCAGGCGGCTTGACGTTTGCGAGGCACTACACATCAAGAAGTCAACACCAGCAATCAACAGCCAATTATTGCACAACTATATTCTACCCACCTCAAGACTCCGCTCCAATATAGAAGCATCAAGAAATATGGACCAATAGGCTTTCTACAAACACTTCTATTCAATACCCATTGTTTGTGTTCTGTCTTGTGTTGATACTTTTAATACCCTATTAATATCCCCTCTTGTTCTGTCTTGTGTTAATGCCACATCACCCCTCCCACCTCACTCAAATGTAGATATAAAATCTGAGATACGTAAGTTCTAATCAGTTGTGTATTTGTGAACTAAAGTCTTTGAAAATGTAATAAGTTTTACGAAACGCGCCCGTGTCGCGTCAGACTAGAAATAAAAATGAATTTTGGAGAATTGATTTTTGATTTACCTCCAACAGTGAAGCGTAATGTACGAAAGATTGAGAAAATTCGTGTTAGAATTATTAATCTTACTTTTTCGGTCATATTTAATAATATATGTCTACAGGAAAGACTGCTACCAAAATATACTAATATATATATATATATATATATATATATATATGTATATATATATATATATATATATATATATATATATATATATATATATATATATATATATATATATATATATATATATATATATATATATATATATATATATATATATATATATATATATATATATATATATATATATATATATATATATATAATAAATAAATAAATAAATAATATTAATATTATCAGCTGCAAAAGTGTGTGAGGTTAACAATAAAAAATTTAGACCCAGATTCAACAAGCATTTATGCCTCTACTTACAACACCTATTGATCTGTCCACAATCATGGCCTAGATGTTATAGGGGAGATTGTCATGGCCTAGATGTTATAGGGATGTCAACAATTTCTTTAGTATTTCACCATCCATGTATTTAAAAGCAATTCTGAAGTTAGCCTATGCTCGTTGTACGAGCATAGGCTCGTACAACGTTCTTTATGTGATCCTCAGGTGATAGTTTTCTATCTAGAACCACCCCTAGATCTCTTTCTTTATCAGAATTCTTCAAAGATTTCTCACATAATTTATAGGTTGTGTGAGGTATATGTTCTATTCCACATTCCATAACATGGCATTTATTAACATTAAATTCCATTTGCCAAGTGGTGCTCCATATACTTATTTTGTCCAGGTCATCTTGAAGGGCATGACAATCATCTAAGTTTCTTATCCTTCCTATTATCTTAGCATCATCAGCAAACATGTTCATATAAATCTGTATTCCACCTGGAAGATCATTTATGTAGACAATGAACATCCCAGTGCAAGAACTGAACCCTGTGGTACTCCACTTGTGACATTTCTCCAGTCCGATACATTGCCTCTGATCACTGCCCTCATTTTTCTGTCAGAATTTTTTTTAATCCATGTTAGAAGCTTACTTGTCGCTATTCCAATATTTTCCAGTTTCCAGAACAACCTCATATGTGGAACTCTGTCAAAAGCCTTTTTTAGGTCCAGATAGATGCAGTCAACCCAACCATCTCTTTCCTGTAAAATCTCTGTTGCTCGATCATAGAAGCTGAGTAAATTCATTACACAGGATCTTCCAGATCGAAAACCATACTGTCTGTCTGATATTATATCATTTCTCTCTAGGTGTTCTACCCATTTAGTTTTTAATTTTTTTTCCAATATTTTGACTATTACACTTGTCAATGATACAGGTCTATAATTGAAGGGGGTCTTCCCTGCCGCCACTTTTGTAGATTGGAACTATGTTAGCCTTTTTCCACACATCTGCTTGAAAAAAGTCTATGTGTGTGTGTGTGTGTGGATCATGGACTCGATAACATAGAAAATAGTGCTCTGTTAAATTAGACAATCTAAGTGTTAGAATTACATTGATTAGACAATATGTAATTAATTAGACAATGAGAAAGGTTCCATGTATTTTATAACCTTTTAGTTTGTTGTTTAGAATGATTAAGAATTAAGAATTATTTTTTACAGAACAAAAAGTCTAAAAGGGTGTTGAAAAAACCACTGGTCACTGTAAAAGCGAAGATGCCTGAAGTTTTCAGCAATGTGGTTCATTGTGATTCAACATGTCCGTCATTCCACGATGAACCACCTAATCCTCCCCCCACCCCCTTCAAGCTCTTTTGTTTGAAATGTGAGCATTCTATTAAACAGGAATTTGAAACGCCAGCTCAAAAAAGAAGTGTGCTTGCAAAGACATGGGAAAATTTTCCGTATGAAAAGAAGTTTGCTTATTCCAGACGCTGTGAGGAACTCAAGGAAAAGTATGAAGCTCGCTTGATACAGTATGTCCAAAACATGGACAAAAAGATGCGCAAAATTTATTTGGGTTTTCGTCGCCAAAATTTGTATTTGTATTTTAAACGCGACATATTTCAGAATTCTTATCCAAATGAAAAGTATCCAGTATATGCGTTATCTCCAAAGAAGAAGAAGAAGAAGCAGAGGGTAGCATCAGAGAGCGATGATGACTTTGTTGCCGAGCCAGTATTGGCCAGTGACAGGCATATCAAGGAAGGAAAGTCAAAAAAGAACATTGCAGTTGAGAAAAGTCAGTCTTCTATGCCTTTTAAAAGAAATGAAAATATAACATCTAAGACTAAAAAAGATGCCAAAAGGCAGCTGCTAGGAAGCAAAGTTAATAAGTTAGATGGGAACAACACAAAATATAAAAGCAAGTCACATGTGACCACTTCTAAATCTGCAAAAGTAGCAAACTGTATTGGATCAAATTCTCCTCTTGTTGGTTCTGACTCGAGCACTGGTAATGAGAGAAAAAGAAAAATCTCAAGAGATGAGAGCTTAGAAGAAGAACTGGAGCACAATAAGCCTTCAAGCAGGTTATCAGCTAAAAGAACCAAACCCACAATCATAACGAATGAATTAGAATCTGAAATTGATTCTGATGTTGACTCGGACTGTAGTGAAGTTCATATAGACAAAAAACAAAATAGTTTTAATACTTCTGTGGAAGATTCTGTAAGTGATGATTCAGACTTTGTGGAAGACCTTGTAAAATCAAAACCTAATAAATTATCTACTGAGAAATCACCATCTAAAAAAGAAAAATCTATCATGACTCCAATGAAATTAGATTCTGATAACTCAAGTGATGAGGAGAGTGATGAAGAGATAGAAATTGAAAAACCTAAACCCAATACATTTTCTTCCAAGGGATCGCCATCTAAAAAAACAAAGTCACTCGTGACACCAATGGAATCAGATGAATCATTAGAAGAAAGTGAATCTGAGGAAGAATTTGAAAAGCCCAAACCCCAAAAATTAACTTCCAAGGGTTCACCATCTAACAGAAAGCCAATACTAACACCAAAGAAATCAGAACCCGATGAATCAAGCGATGAAGAGATTGAATCTGAGGAAGAACATGATAAACCCAAACCCAAAAAATTAACTTCCAAGGGCTCACCATCTAACAAAAAGCCAGTACTGACACTAAAGAAATCAGAATCTGGTGAATCAAGCAATGAAGAGAGTGAATCTGAGGAAGAACATGATAAACGCAAACCCAAAAAATTAACTTATAAGGGCTCACCATCTAACAAAAAGCCAGTACTGACACTAAAGAAATCAGAATCTGGTGAATCAAGCAATGAAGAGAGTGAATCTGAGGAAGAACATGATAAACGCAAACCCAAAAAATTAACTTATAAGGGCTCACCATCTAACAAAAAGCCAGTACTGACACTAAAGAAATCAGAATCTGGTGAATCAAGCAATGAAGAGAGTGAATCTGAGGAAGAACATGAAAAAACTAAGCTTGGTAAATCATCTTTCGAAGAAGAGTCGGTATTTACACCACAGAAATTAGAATCTAATGACTCAAGTGACGAAGAGTGTGACGCTGAAGTTGGGCCAGCCTGGAAGTCCTCAACTTCAATAACAAACTACCAGGTGAGTGAACTTTAGAGGTGAATTTTACTTATCAAGGAGAAGCTGGTGCGTGTCAGAGGAGAGGAAGCACATGTGTGTGTCAGAGGAGAGGAAGCCCATGTGTGTGTGTCAGAGGAGAGGAAGCACGTGTGTGTGTCAGAGGAGAGGAAGCACATGTGTGTGTGTCAGAGGAGAGGAAGCACATGTGTGTGTGTCAGAGGAGAGGAAGCACATGTGTGTGTCAGAGGAGAGGAAGCACTTGTGTGTGTCAGAGGAGAGGAAGCACATGTGTGTGTGTCAGATGAGAGGAAGCACATGTGTGTGTCAGTGGAGAGGAAGCACATGTGTGTGTGTTAGAGGAGAGGAAGCACATGTGTGTGTGTCAGAGGAGAGGAAGCACGTGTGTGTGTCAGAGGAGAGGAAGCACATGTGTGTGTGTCAGAGGAGAGGAAGCACATGTGTGTGTGTCAGAGGAGAGGAAGCACATGTGTGTGTGTCAGAGGAGAGGAAGCACATGTGTGTGTGTCAGAGGAGAGGAAGCACATGTGTGTGTGTCAGAGGAGAGGAAGCACGTGTGTGTGTCAGAGGAGAGGAAGCACATGTGTGTGTGTCAGGAGAGGAAGCACATGTGTGTGTCAGTGGAGAGGAATCACATGTGCGTGTCAGAGGAGGGGAAGCACGTGTGTGTGTGTGTGTCAGTGGAGGGGAAGCACATGTGTGTGTGTGTGTGTTAGTGGAGGGGAAGCACATGTGTGTGTGTGTGTGTGTCAGTGGAGGGGAAGCACGTGTGTGTGTGTGTTTGTCAGTGGAGGGGAAGCACGTGTGTGTCAGTGGAGGGGAAGCATGTGTGTGTGTGTGTGTGTGTGTGTGTTAGTGGAGGGGAAGCACGTGTGTGTGTGTCAGTGGAGGGGAAGCACGTGTGTGTGTGTGTGTGTGTCAGTGGAGGGGAAGCACGTGTGTGTGTGTGTGTCAGTGGAGGGGAAGCACGTGTGTGTGTGTGTGTGTGTCAGTGGAGGGGAAGCACGTGTGTGTGTGTGTGTGTCAGTGGAGGGGAAGCACATGTGTGTGTGTGTGTCAGTGGAGGGGAAGCACGTGTGTGTGTGTGTGTGTGTGTCAGTGGAGGGGAAGCACGTGTGTGTGTTGGTGGAGGGGAAGCACATGTGTGTGTCAGTGGAGGGTAAGCACGTGTGTGTGTGTGTGTCAGAGGAGCGGAAGCACATGTGCGTGTCAGTGGAGGGGAAGCACGTGTGTGTGTGTGTGTCAGTGGAGGGGAAGCACGTGTGTGTGTGTGTGTCAGTGGAGGGGAAGCACATGTGTGTGTGTGTGTGTGTCAGTGGAGGGGAAGCACGTGTACTCACCTATATGTACTCACCTATATGTGCTTGCAGGATCGAGCATTGACTCTTGGATCCCGCCTTTCTAGCTATCGGTTGTTTACAGCAATGACTCCTGTCCCATTTCCCTATCATACCTAGTTTTAAAAGTATGAATAGTATTTGCTTCCACAACCTGTTCCCCAAGTGCATTCCATTTTTCTACTACTCTCACGCTAAAAGAAAACTTCCTAACATCTCTGTGACTCATCTGAGTTTCCAGTTTCCACCCATGTCCCCTCGTTCTGTTATTATTACGTGTGAACATTTCATCTATTTCCACTTTGTCAATTCCCCTGAGTATTTTATATGTCCCTATCATATCTCCTCTCTCCCTTCTTTTCTCTAGTGTCGTAAGGTTCAGTTCCTTCAGCCGCTCTTCATATCCCATCCCTCGTAGCTCTGGGACAAGCCTCGTCGCAAACCTCTGAACCTTCTCCAGTTTCTTTATGTGTTTCTTCAGGTGGGGGCTCCATGATGGCGCGGCATACTCTAAGACGGGTCTCACGTAGGCAGTGTAAAGCGCCCTAAAAGCTTCCTCATTTAGGTTTCTGAATGAAGTTCTAATTTTCGCCAGTGTAGAGTACGCTGCTGTCGTTATCCTATTTATATGTGCCTCAGGAGTTAGATTAGGTGTCACATCCACTCCCAGGTCTCTTTCTCGAATCGTTACAGGTAGGCTGTTCCCCTTCATTGTGTACTGTCCCTTTGGTCTCCTGTCACCTGATCCCATTTCCATAACTTTACATTTACTGGTGTTAAACTCCAGTAGCCATTTCCCTGACCATCTCTGCAGCCTGTTTAAGTCCTCTTGGAGGATCCTACAATCCTCGTCTGTCACAACTCTTCTCATTAATTTTGCGTCATCTGCAAACATTGACATGTATGATTCCACTCCTGTAAACATATCATTTACGTAAATTAGAAAGAGGATTGGTCCCAGCACCGATCCTTGAGGTACTCCACTTGTTACTGTTCGCCAGTCCGACTTTTCGCCCCTTACCATTACCCTCTGGCTCCTTCCTGTTAGGTAGTTCTTCACCCATACTAGGGCCTTTCCGCTTACTCCTGCCTGCCTCTCAAGTTTGTATAGCAGTCTCATGTGCGGTACCGTATCAAAGGCCTTTTGGCAGTCAAGAAATATGCAGTCTGCCCAGCCTTCTCTGTCCTGCCTTATCCTTGTTACTTTATCATAGAATTCTAAAAGGTTTGTTAGGCATGATTTCCCTGTCCAGAACCCATGTTGGTGCTTGTTTACAAACCCAATGCTCTCCAGGTGCTCAACAAGTCTTAGCCTAATTATTCTTTCAAGTATTTTGCAGGGGATGCTTGTCAGTGATACGGGTCTGTAGTTAAGTGCCTCCTCCCTATCACCCTTTTTGAAAATCGGTACGACATTTGCCTCCTTCCAGCAACTGGGCAATTCTCCCGACATAAGTGACTCATTAAAGATCATTGCCAGAGGCACGCTGAGAGCCTGCGCTGCCTCTTTGAGTATCCACGGTGATACTTTGTCTGGTCCAACAGCTTTATTTGCATCCAGTGTTGTCAACTGTTTCATTACATCCTCTGCTGTCACCTCTATATCCGATAGTCTTTCATCTTGGGTAATCTCTTCTAACAATGGGAGCTGCTCAGGCTCGGTTGTGAACACTCCATGGAATTTTGCATTCAGTACCTCGCAGATTTCCTTGTCGCTTTCTGTATATGCCCCTTCTGTTTTCCTCAGTCTTGTCACTTGGTCATTTACCGACATCTTCCTTCTTATATGGCTATGTAGTAATTTTGGTTGCTTTTTCGCTTTGACTGCAATATCGTTCTCATAATTTCTTTCCGACACTCGTCTTATGTTAATGTAATCATTCCTAGCTCTGTTACATCTAATCCTGTTGTCCTCTGTCCTTTGTCTTCTGTACTTCCTCCACTCCCTCCTGCTTCTCACCTTTGCTTCCTGACACTGTCTATTAAACCATGGGTTATTATATTCCCTCCTGCTTTTTTCCTTTATTGTTGGAATAAATCTATCTTCAGCCTCCTTGCATTTCAATATGACTTGGTTCATCATACCTTGCACTGTTTTTCCTCTAAGTTCTTCCTCCCACTGCACTTCTCCCAGTGTGTCAGTGTGTCAGTGGAGGGGAAGCACGTGTGTGTGTGTGTCAGTGGAGGGGAAGCACGTGTGTGTGTGTGTCAGTGGAGGGGAAGCACATGTGTGTGTGTGTGTGTCAGTGGAGGGGAAGCACATGTGTGTGTGTGTGTCAGTGGAGGGGAAGCACATGTGTGTGTGTGTGTGTGTCAGTGGAGGGGAAGCACGTGTGTGTGTGTCAGAGGAGGGGAAGCAAGTGTGTGTGTGTGTGTGTCAGTGGAGGGGAAGCACGTGTGTTGTGTGTGTGTGTCAGTGGAGGGGAAGCACGTGTGTTGTGTGTGTGTGTGTGGCTGGAGGGGAAGCACATGTGTGTGTGTTGGTGGAGGGGAAGCACGTGTGTGTGTGTGTCAGTGGAGGGGAAGCACGTGTGTGTGTGTGTGTCAGTGGAGGGGAAGCACGTGTGTGTGTGTCAGTGGAGGTGAAGCATGTGTGTGTGTGTCAGTGGAGGGGAAGCATGTGTGTGTGTGTCAGTGGAGGGGAAGCACGTGTGTTGGTGGAGGGGAAGCACGTGTGTGTGTGTTGGTGGAGGGGAAGCACGTGTGTGTGTGTTAGTGAAGGGAAAGCAGGAGGGGGGTTACAGTGGAGGGGAAGCAGGAGGGGGAGATTCTGTGGAGGGGGCTGGGAGGGTGATGCTGGAGATTGGTCTAGCTCTTTATGCTCTGCCTACTACTAGCCTTGTTGTTCCTCACATTAAGTTGATTCATTTGCATTTCCAGTTTCCACCTGTGTCCTCTTATCCTACTTTCTCTCAATGTGAAGATGTGTGTTGATGAAGGCGGGTATGTTGGGGGAGGGGAAGGTAATATGTGTGTGTGGGGGGGGGGGGGATGAGTGCTTGGATCTGGCTGGCTGGCTTGCTTCCTTTCTTCTCCCATTCCTTCCATCCTCCCATTTTCTTCCCTGCATCACACTTCCTTTTCCCCTGCCTCCTCTATCCCAAACTCACTCCCCACCTTTCCATACTTCTCAATCCTTTCCTCCATCCCACACCTCGGACCCGAGATGTGGGATGGAGTGAAGTAACTGTACAAGTGACGTGTATATGCTGGTTGTGTGGCTGTATGCATGTAGATGTTGGCACATACCATAAATGTTCTCAGGATTAATGATTTTGTATATAAACACTTATCATAGATGTTATCCTTGTTAACTGGTAACATTCTTCCACACATTTAATTTGTTCTTAATTCTCATAACTTGCTGTACAAACATTTGTAAATTAGTCTGTTGTGTATTTCAGAGTTCAAGTTCATCGGATTCTGACTAAGGGGTCTTGATGTGGAAACTGCAGAGTAAACTTAGATGGAAGTTCTTACATGTTTTCACTTATTAAAATTAAGACTGAAATGCCACATTATTCATTTCTTTTATCCAAATGAGCATAGTAGAATGTATAATTTTTTTAATGAATTAAAAAATTTGTTAATTTGTTTAGTGTTCCCTTTTACCAATAAAGCTATTTTACAGATTTTGCTACTTGTGTTAATTGTGTCTTCTGTTGTGCTGTTGCTCTTAACCCCCTAAATGACACGGCTATTTCAACAATCTTGGATTTGTTACAGTATGGCAAACCAAGTTCCTAATGAGACCCACTTGACTTATTGAGTCTGGTGCATAGAAAATGTAGATACTTATGAACCATTACTTTTCATAGCAGGTTGCATTTGTAATGTTGGTTACTAAAATGTAAAAAATGCGACCTATTAGTTGAGAGGATGGGTTAATTTTACAGGACATACATTCAAATTCAAATTCAAATGTTTATTTAGGTAAAGTACATACATACAAGGGGTGATACAGACATTAATGAATTTATAGATAGAGCTAGTACATACAATGCCTAAAGCCACTATTACGCAAAGCGTTTCGGGCAGAAATGCTGAAGTGTGCATGTCTAGAAATTGGTAATAAATCCAATTGGGGAAAAAAATTATGGTGATTGGAGCAATATAATGATTAATAATATTTTTTATTACAAATGTCATCGTAATAGATAATTGATGATAAAAAAAAAGTGACCATGTAAAACACTAATGTAATATACAGAGATTTCAAGAATGCTTTCAACAAGTGTGACCATGGTGGTGGTGCACACACAATATGCATAAAGGAATTACTCTACTGCCAAAGAATGAATATCTTTAATTTCCTAAAGAACATAACCCAGTGTAATAATCAACATAGAGGACATAGCAAGCCTCCTGATGTAAATCATCTCTCTCAATGGGCACCACAAAATATGTTTAATGACGTTCCAACCCCCTGCGCTATTTAAAAATGGAAAACAGTCAAATCACACTATAGAATGAAAAAGATTTAAGAGTAATTAGTTTGGAAGACCTTAATTTTAAAGAACACAGTAGCCATCACAGCTGCCAAGAAAATGACAGGTTGCATAACAAGATACTTTCAAACAAGATGCCAGTCTAATAATACTTTTTAAGACACTAGTGATTGAATATTGTACAATAACAGCCCTCTAAAGCTGAAGAAATTGCTGACCTGGAGAATGTGAAAAGAGCTAATTCTGTCAGAATTCACTCAATGTAACATTTAAATTATTGGGATTGCTTAACACTTTAAATCTGTATTTCCTAGAGTGCAGGCAGGAGATACACATCACAGCTCACACTTTGAAAATAGTGTTAGAGGGACTGGTTCAAATCTTCAAAAGGAAATAACACTACATGAGACCAGGAAGTGTAATATATTCCCAATGAAAAGCAGAGGTGTAATAGGTATGCTGAGAGAGAACTGTATCGAAATTAAGAGCCCAATACCTTTCACCACTTCGACCCCACACAATGGGCATAACTGGCCGACCTCTCATAGTATTAAAAAGAATTTTATAAACACCTCCAAAGGATACCTAGTCAACCAGGCTGTGATTCATGTTAGACTGCAAGCAGATGGGTTAAACAGCCTGGTTGACCAGGCCACCAGCTTGGAGGCTAAGTCAGAGACCGTGGGGGACTTTGATCCTTGAAGCCAACGAAACCAAAAGGAAAGTTTGCAAGTGAGACATCCTTATAGAAAAAGGAAGTTGAAGGGAAACAGGGCCTACCTGAGGGGCAACAGCCAAAGCCTGACAACTGTGAGGAGGATGATGTTGCAGAGACTGGTCGGTAGCAAAGGCAGTAACAATCCTGATGTTCCTGTAGTGATAAGACACTGGTTTCAACATTCAAATTCTGGGAAGAGGATGAACTAAACACACCATAGCCGAGGTGTAACCCAGTATGATGCAGAACATCAAGATGATGAAATGTCAAAGGATAGGCCGAGGAGTAGGCAGGGTAGCCATAATCAAGTTTAGACAGCATGAGAGAGGAGTGCAAATATAGGAGGGTGTATCGGCTTCCCAGGAATTACAGGACAAGACGAAATAATGTAAGGGCCTTAAAGCATTAGACTCGGGGTGACCAAGACAAACGAGTGTCAAAGACTAACCACAAACTTTTTGTGGAATCTTAATACAGAAGGAGAATAAAAGTGTCAATGAGGGATGATCAACTTGCTTCCGTGTAAGTCATAGCACAAGTCTTAGAATGTAGAGAACTCTAAGCTATGATTGGTGGCCCAGGACAACAACATCAATCACAAATTGGAGCTGGCGTTGGAGGAAAGTGATTGTCGTGACAGCAAAGAGCAAGATGGTCGCCGTATGTGAGAATATGCCAGAGGGAAGGGAGAAAGGAAGGACAATTTTTTCTAATTTTTTGAGGAAAAATAATAGTGCCCAGAACAACCGTGGGTGTACAGAATACCCCCGTTGAAGAGCAAAGGTAAAATAGGTACTCTGAGAGAGAACTCTTATCAACATCAGAGACCCGAGACCCCAGTTGAAGAGCAGAGATGCAATAGGTAATCTGCTTGATGGGGTTCTGGGAGTTATCCCCAAGCCCGACCCAAAGCCAGGCTCGACTTTTTAGAGTTTGGTCCACCAGGCTATTGCTTGGAGTGGCCCGCAGGCCTACATATTCACCACAGCCAGGTTGGTCTGGCACTCCATGAAGAAAACTGTCTAGTTTTTTCTTGAAGATGCCCATGGTTGTTCTGGCAATATATCGTATACTCACTGGGAGGATGTTGAACAACCGTGGACCTCTGGTGTTTATACAGTGTTCTCGGATTGTGCTTATGGCACCCCTACTCTTCACTGGTTCTGTTCTGTATTTTCTTCCATATCGTTCACTCCAATAACTCAGAGAGAGAGAACTCTTATCAACATCAGAGGCCCGATACTGTTCAACACACTTTCACTACACATAAGGGGCATAACTGGCTGACCCCTCACAGTGTTCCAGAGAGAACTTGATAAGCATCTCCAAAGGATACCTGGATCAACCAGACTGATTCATATGTCAGGCTGTGAGCAGCCACGTCCAACAGCCTGGTTGACCAGTCCAGCAAGCAGGAGGCCTGATCGACGACCGGGCCTCGGGAATGTTAAGCCCGGAACCACCTCAAGGTAACCTCAGGGTAGGGGAATACCATTTTACTGGACAAAAAGTGTCACTATAGGAATGACAAGAGAAGACATTGAAGGGAGAGCAGGAAATTGCCACAAAGGCCCAAAGAATGTAGCCGAGATAAAATATTATTCATCCAAGTGGGGTCATAAACCTTTTCTAGGTAAAAAAGAACAGCAACCACGCTGGTCTTTGCGGCACAGTTCGAATGGTTCACTGAAACATCTGTTGTGCTGCTACACTTACGAAAGCCCAATTGAGAGAGAGAGAGGTTAGATAGTGTTCTAAGACCCACATAAGATGGACATTGACCATTCGCTCGAAAAGCTTGCAAATGTAACTCGCCAAGGCAATGGGGCAAAAATCCTTAGGGAAAGTTCCACGAGTACTGGATTTCCAAATAAAAAGAACCACCGCCTTAAGCCAGTCTTCAGGGATGGACGATGGCTCCCAAATACGATTAAAAATATACAGTAAATACTGAAAGTCACATGTAGGTAGTGGAAGAAAGGGAACTGGTGGTGTCGGGGTTTAAGGTTTGAAAACGGTTGCCGCAGTACTGAGAAGGGGGAACGAGGGTAGGGAATAGTAGTATGATGCAACATAAGTAAGGTTAGAAAAAGTTAAGATGGCTGACCTGCCGTTCAGCCTCGGAAAAAGATACACAATCGCTAAGCTTCAAGGTGAGCATGACTTGTTCATACTTATAGTGCATGCACTCGTGGGAGAAGACAGGGTGGGCCTCACCACAGCTGATGCACCGAACTTGGGGAGAAGAGCAATCCATACGAGAACGGCCAGCACCACCATATAAGGGAAAAAGGACATCTCACTACTACACTTTGAGGAACCATGACCAAACTTTCTATGCCTATTGCAGAGGCGCAGAGAGAGGATGCATTCCTGAATGGAGCACCGGCAAGAATAACTGTAGACAGCAGGGTCCGACCATCAAGAGTAATCTTAACGACTCGAAAGGGGGGTTGACGACGATGACCATGAGGGAGTCGAATAAGTGTTAATCTGGAGGGTAGAAAATTCTTAGGTGTCGAGGATATATTTAATAGTCTCATGACAGTCTTTAAGGTCTCTATCTCCAAATGGCAACATGGTGCGGGAGAACGACAGTGCAGGTGCTGGCATTTAACAGGGAATTTTTGAACACCTAGACCAGGGTCTCACCAATGCAGGACAAGTAGCTAGGTGGGCAGCTGCCTCGTGAGAAGGGATCACAACTACACGTGTGCTACTTTGGGTGGGGGGGGGGGGGCGAAACAGGGCCAAACAAATCCTGGAACAAGAGGTAGAAGATCTCAGACACGTACAAAGGCGGCGACGGTGCCGTGAACCCCCACAAAGGAGAAGGGCGTGTGTAAAAGGCACCGTTGTCACGACAAGAGATGTAGCCACCTTAAGCAACGAGGTAGCCACCAATGGGGGCTTGGGACTCAACCCTGCAAAACAAATGACAAGGGGAACGGAAAGTATCAGTAGGGGTAGGTAGAGACAGCCTGGTCTGGGTCCACCACAGCCGGAACTATGAAGTTGAATAACACTTCCAACACGGTCCAACTCGGGGCCTGGTTGCCACCCCAAAAGTCTGGGAAGAGGAAATATGTTCAGAAGTATACATACAAGTTACCCGAGAGACTTCGCTGCCTGGCACCCCCACCCACAACGAAACCCACATGGAAAAGTAACCTCAGGAGTAACTGGAACAGTTTGTATCAACTACAGTCTACCGCTCTACCAACTGAGCTATCGCAGGAACTAACTGGAACAGTGTGGGTAACTGTAGAGGGGTCGAACGATATCCCTGGGACTGATAGGGGTACGAACTCCACAATGGCCGCTTGTCCTGATGTCTAACCAGACGAACCGACTAGTTCGGGTAGGCTACATTGAACCTCCTGGTTTACCCCCTCCCTCCAGGGGCAACAGCCACTCAAACTTGCAACCCGTCCTCGACTCAAGTCCATTCCATCCAGCGGTCGACCCCA